CCAGAAACTTTCTTTCTCAGCCATCATTCCTAGCCCTTTTGGAGCCACTCAGATGTCTAAAAGGACACAAACCAACAAAGATGCCCTGACGGTAGTGAAAATTAGCCCATTCACGTGCTCTCCATGCCCCACCCCATCCCGTTCCACAATTCCCTTAAAGTATTAAATTCCTTTACATATTGAAAGTTAAAAGAGAAGAACCAGTGTATGGAGCTAGTCTGGTAGACAGTGCCTTTGTACAGTGCTTTGTTCATGGCAGGTTTGGTATTATACTGTGTCTTGGAGAAATGATGTCTATGACTCCAGTCTGCTCTCAGGAATGACTGTGGTGATTACTGGATAAAGAAATAGTTGAGGTGGTAGACCTCCCTGCTGTCTGACAGTGGGTGTCTATCTGTCCCTCTGTGTGTATGTGTGTGTGTGTGTGTGTGTGCGCGCGTGTGTAGGGGTGGCAGGGTGGAGACAGGGATTATGGACTATAATCTTCAACTATAAGGATGACAGCCTTAAAGAAGACTTGAAGGTAATTAAAAGGGAGGTACTAGATTTCCTTTCCCTTCAAAATATATTCTTAGGGAAGTTACTAAATGGGGAGGTGGGGGTGGGGGAAGAACCACTTCAACTATAAAATTGGTCAGAGCACTATTCTTTAGCCTACTAGAAATAGGAAGGAAATAAGACAATAGAATTTATAGTGACCAGTCTTTTTGATTGTCTTTGCTGAATAGAAATCTGCAACAATGTACATGATTACTAACATATTTTTAGTTCACACACAGCTAATCCCTTTAAAAAAAAAATACTTTTAGACTTGCATTTATACAGAAGAGGCTTCTTAGTGTGTGTTGGAATAGGGATGATGTGATGGGAGTGAAATAGATTTACCGTATGTATAGTTGCTGTGTGCCAGGCGTCTTTTAGTTTAGGATGTGAGCGGGTCTTCCTGCTTTGATGGAGGCATCAGAGCTGTCCACACAGGAAGTCCTCCCTGATTGTGGTCCACACAGGAAGTCCTCCCTGAGTGCTGACAAGCACTCTTCCTGCTGATGCCACACCCACTCCTACAGGGAATGCAGAGAAGCTCTGCTAACAGCCACCCAATTATTCGTCATCAACTCTGCATGAGAATTTAGCCCAGTTATTAATAAATGTCATTGTGAAAACTGAATTAGCTTGTTTTTCACCTTGGATGACAATTTGCTAGGTATATTGTTTGCCTGAACTGAAGCAGTGAGATTAGACCAGAGAAGACTGGGATAGACTTCTTGGATCTTGTAGGGTGAGCCATCACTTAGTGGTGGTCATTCAGCCATCCAGTTTCTTAAATAAATAGGTTGAATTTGTGAAAATTGTCTACATGCTTCATCCAGTGGGTGAAAAGTTGGCGGTGGGGGAGGGGGGTGTCTTTTCAAATTTGGGGGCAGCTTAGGGGTCTTGAGAGGCAAAATGTAAAAGGACAGCCACCAATGAAAATGAAGTTTGGTAAAGTATCATCCACTTACAAGCTTTTTTCTCTCCCTGAGTTTGCTGTTCATGCTGTTGAGGCATGTGACTGTAAAATGTAATTGCTTTGAATTGATCAGCAGGCTCCTAAGTAAGGTAAGGACTTGTCAGGGTTTGTATTTCAGTCTGGGAGTGAGAGTTTCATTCTTTTGTTGAGTGGAGCCTTCCTAAAATGATGACTCTGATGTTCATCTGTAATATGCTGTAATTTTCCAAAGTTGTTTGCAGAATTCTTTTAGTGAAAAGATCTATAAGGTAGAATCTTTAAAACTGACCTTTTAAAAGATTTCCTTAAAAAAAACACACATACACACAAGCTGACTTGTGTCATCATTAAATTAACTTAAAGGCACCTTTGACATTTTTTAAAAATGCAGCCACCGATGGTATTAAGTATCATATTTCAGAGAAACTGGAATTTAGTCATTTAATTTGCAGGAAGGATGAGCACAGAAAAATGAAGTAATACAAATAGCACATTTAGGATATGGACAGTGTTTTGGATGCCATTTAGGGCACAGATTAAGGGCTTTGACATTTTGTCCAGCAGACCTGAGTTCAAATTCCAGTCGTGCCACCTACTAAAAGTGTGACTGTGACACATTACTTAATGTCTCCTGAGACTCAGTTTCCTGATCTTCAAAATGCGAAAATGAGAATGCATCTGTCTCATTTGGATTAAGTAAGATAACACATAACACAGCACATGGCATAGTGTGTGGCACATATGAAACATGCAATATATGATAGTAATTATTACCCTGCTATTACAGTTATCATTAACCAATTCTGAATATTTTGGAATAAACTCCTTTATTGTGTTTGAATTTTCTTCTTTGAACATGTATCCAGTCTTTATTAGGATTTAACTTTTTAATTTCAATGAGTTCTAAAAACTCAGTCTTTGGTCTAAAGTTTTCTGCACCAGAAAATAGAAAATTGACAACCCGGACTAATTTAATGCTTCTTCTCTTTAGTCATCAGCCATTTGTGACAGTTGCTATTAGGATACTTTTGAATTTAAACTTGGTCACCAGGATTCACCAGAGACCAGTCATCCTCCTTGAGATGCATTCGGGAACCCCTTTCTCCCACCTGGGATTGGAATACTAGGAGATTTCTTTCCCCAAGAGAGTAAGTTGAAGTGTAGGTGGGGAGGGCCAAAGGGTATGTGCTCCCCACCTACTTCCCAGAGTAGGAAAATATTACTGTCATAAATAGGGAGGCCTGTCAAAGATATATTAGATCAGCTATGTAAGTCACATTTCTACTTCTGCCAAATATGTGAATAAAAGCCTATTCCTTCATGTCCAAAAAAATCTGATAAATCATGCTGCCAGGTGTTCCTTTTAACGATAGAAAGTCCTTGCCTGGCACTCCACTTTCCACCCACAGAGAAAAGCAGAGGTAAGAGCCAAGGCCAGCTTGGAATGCAGTCTTTCAAACACCTGATGGTTCACTGGCTTTGCATGGCATCCCCCTGAGAGGTGGGCATTGACCCGAAATCCACAGCTTCTGTCAGACCCCTGCAAGGCTTACCCAGGTGAGCACATTTCCTTCCCCGACTGCCACCCTGAACACACCAGGTCTTACTGGGAGAAACAGTGCGTTTGTGGCAAGGACCAGGTTCTTGGACTTTAATCAGAAGTGATTTAAGAAAAATTTCAGTCTTGGCTAATCATCTCCAGCTGTCAGTTCTTTGTGTAAACCGAAAGCTAGGGACAGGGAGGCAGATGTGTGGGTTACGTCCCAGCCCCTCTGCTCTTCACTGAAGAAAGAAAGAGGGGGCACCTGGCTGATTGCAGGTATCAGCCGGCAGTTTTATTGAATGACCTTGGAGAAGGAACACAGACCTCTTGGTGGCCCAGATAGGGGTCTGCAGTGCCATCCGTGCAAGAGACAAGGCTTAGTTTATACCTGGAAAGCAGTTTTTACCTCTTAGAGAAACACAAGGGATGACAGCAAAGGGTTTGAGTTCACCTGCTTATTAAGGGCATAAATCGAATAGATTTGATAGGATATGATCTCAGGCAGGTTTCACTGGGGTTAAGCATTGCTGATGTTCCTGGTTCAAGTTCAGCCTTCATTAATACATTGACTATTGTTAACCCTTCTGGCAACACTCCTTTTTGAAAAACAGTCCCTTGAGATAAAGTGGTGTTTGGGCTGTGATTTTAGCAAGGATCCTGGGGAGTGAAAAGAAACGTCTGTATAGTATACGTTTCACGTCTAGATCCACGAGGAGCCCCATGCCCCAGGATACTGTGGCGTTAGGATGGCCAAGGCAGAAACATGATGCAAAGCTGGACAATCTATCCTGGGGCATTGAGATGGCCAACAAGGTGAGCAGGGTTGTATATATTGCCAGAGGTCTGCTTTTTGAGCTCTATAAAGTGGAATTGAATTGTGTCTTAGATATGCCTTATTTTTTTGTTTGTGGTAGTAAAAATCCTAAGGTTTGACATTTTTGATCCATGTCTAGTGACTAATTTTAAATCTTCAAACTGTTGTTCAGTGTCAGTGATGTCCTTTATTAGGACCATGTTGGTTAGTCTTATTTATTATTTAGAAGATGTGAAGTGAAACAATTCCTGTCCTGGTGTGAAATGGCAGAGCATTTGCTGTGAGAACACTTTGGGGTGTGCTTACCTTCACCTCACACTGAGCCATTTCACTTCCTCAAAGGTCAGGTGTGTGGCACAGGGATGGAGAGCTGTGGTTTCTTTCAGTTGGTTAACAATTATCTGGTGTGAGTACATTTTCAGACGGTCTTCCTAGGTGGCTAAAACCACACTGAGCCCTGGCTTGCAGGCTTTACAGAAGTGAATGTTGGTTGCTGCCAGGCCTGGGAATGTTTCCAGCTTCTGCTCCATTCTCACAGGAGTTAAATTTCACAAGGTTAGCCAGAGCGAAAGGCAGCTGACCTGTGAATCTTGTCCAGATGTCTCAGAGAAGCCGTGGGTCTGTCTTAGAACAAGGTGAAGCCTTCGTTATTTGAGCATCTTGACTGAACTCTAACTTTCTGACACTTGAAGAGTAATCTTTTTTTTTTCTTTTTTAATCACTAAGAATCATCTCAATAAATTTGTGAGCAACTTTCAATGAAGTGTTTTCCAGCATTTGAAAACCTTTCAGAAGTCCAGTGATTTCTGAATGACTGTATATTAAAATATTATTGCATAACTTTATGCAAGTTCACTTTGAGTCTTGAATGTATTCCTTAAAGTATGTAAAGAAAATCTTACAAAGTTTTAGTCTTATTTCAGGGGCATGTAGAGAATAGTTTACTGAGTTGTCCTGTTATTAATTGCATGTTGAGGGAGAGAATACTTTTGCAGAATGAACAGATCTTTTTTAAGATGTAAATTAAAATGTATGTAGTAAAGTAGCTGAAGATCATCTGTATTTATATCTTGGTTTGGAGATCATGCAACCACTGAACGGTGCTGAATACAGGTTCCGTGGAGCATTCTAATGCTGTGGTCTTTGTTTTCCAGCAGTCTCTGGTCCCAGCCCATCCTATGGCCCCTCCCAGCCCCAGCACCACCAGCAGTAATAACAACAGTAGCAGCAGTAGCAACTCAGGATGGGATCAGCTGAGCAAAACGAACCTCTACATCCGGGGGCTGCCTCCCAACACCACGGACCAGGACCTGGTGAAGCTGTGTCAGCCGTAAGTAGAGCTTCTTGAGGTTTTTTAGCGCCTAGATACCTCCTTGATCATATTACAGAGTGATATAAATTGTGTTTTAAGAGAGGTTTAGTACAAATCTGTGAATCCTCATTACGGTCACAGTGGACAGGGTTTCTAAGTTTTGAGTCCTTGGACACTTGCTCAGCCAGCATTAACATCAACAGGGCGCCTATATAACAAAATTAATTGGAGCATTTTCTCAGTAGAATTTGCCTTTGTTGGCACATGAGAAGGAGAATATGAATGATTTGAAAACACGGCTGGTTCCTTTTGAGGAGTGCTTTTGCTTTTGTGGAGGCATGTCTGGGGGCCAGTAGGTCTCATCCTTAAGAGAAGCTTCAGTTGTCACTGTTTGTCAGAAAGGTAGTTCCCATCTAGCCTAATTCTAAATGTGTACAAACTCTTAATTCCAGTGGGGCAGCGGTGATCTGTCTTCACTCAGCCTGTAGTTTTGTGGTTCGAGTTGCTCACGCTCGGCTCTGGACATTCTTATTCCTCAAGTTCCTATTCCTCTTCCTGCTGCCACCCTTGTCGTGTCCTGGGAAGAGAGGGGCACATGTGTGTCGCTTTGTCCCAAAGGAAATGTGCGTTCTATGCTAATGTTGTCGAGGAATAGAATAGAAATATGCTACTTGGCTGCAATTGCATTAGCTCACAAAGAAAGCACTAATTTAAACCAAGGAGCCAGAAGCTTTGTGCATTGCAAGCATCACTGTATAAAGACTAAGAACACCTCTAATCACTTTAGCTATAAAACCCTGCGCATGCAGCAGCATCTGTTATTTACCCAGAGACAATCATGGTCCTTCACAAATGGAATTTTATGTAACTGTGGAAAAGGATGTCCACTAAAGAATATTTCCTGTTCCCTGGAAAGTAGTTCCATTTCTAAACATCTGGTTAAGAGCATCTTATTTCCGTTATCCTGGTAAAATATAAATTCATTACTTCTTGCTTTAAGGAAAAAAAAAAATCTTAAAACTTACTTGGGCAGCGTTTCCAAACCGGAACTAAAAGTAACATCTGGCTTTCCATCAGGAGTGGTGGTGGTTTTGCTCTGTGGTGTTTTTAGAGAGGAGTGTGGGACGGTGAGAGATGGCTTGTCAGGATCCAGAGAGCCTTTTGAAGGACATCGCCCTCAGCACCCTCCCTGGGCCTTTCCCATGTTACCCTTCTCATCAGCCCCTTTGGACTTGGACTGCAGCCTTTGCTTCCAGGGCGGTGAAATAATGTCCTGTGCTCAGGATGACTTTGAAAGCAAGTCCGGCTCTTGGGGTTTGTCCTGCTGACCAGAGTCAGAAGGAACTCTGCCAGGCGCGCCCTGCCCTGTTGCAGCTGTTCACGACCACAAATAAGCCTTTTGCTATCTTGTCTGCTGCTGGCCTTTACCGGCATCTTCCTAGGTTTTTGCAGCATAATTACAGGTAGATAGAGCACCCTAAAGTCTAAGGAGCTAAAAATACAACTTCGTAGGGAACAGTAGAGTCAAGATAAGCCTCACATGTTTGAGGTCTAAGAGAAGGGGGCAAGATTTCAGAAGACAGATTTTTCCTTCAGCTAGTTTGGAAGCAGCACGTAAGGTGAGTTTTAACACAAAGATAGAATTGAACAACCACAATAGAGCAATACCATGTTTTATGTACACTAAATCTGTGTTCAAAAAATTAAACCAGAAGTTTTTTTGTTTTTTTTTTCAACTGAGTTAAATCGTGTCCCAGATGCAGCAGAAGAGCATTTGATCATCTGTCCTAGATAATTCATCCTCTTTGACGAATGTGGATTTTCTCAGCTTGTAGAGACTTCAGTAGACATCAGTCTCTTTGCTGTTATCAATAGCAGCAATAACAGTTTGCCACTTACTTTCTCCTATCATTTGCAAAACCCCAAGTTCAATAGTTAGCTCCAGTGGTAGTTTTCTTTATGTGTTATACAGACGCAAGATACACAGTAATAGAGAATTCTATGTCAATATCTGTTGAGAGCTTCATTCCATTTAACATAGAGCATCTAATAAGTACCAGATTTGTCTTGTTGACAGTTTCGTGTCTCAGAATGTAGAGAGAGAGCAAAAAAGGGCATTCCTGTTCTGGACTTGATTGTTTCCCATAAAGAATAGATAGTTGGCGACATGGAAGTGACAAGAACCCTTATGGGAAAGTGACTCATCCTAGAGCTTAAAAAACCCAGTGGACGTAATTAGAGAGTTTTTAGAAAAGTTTCAGAAGCGTCTCAGAAAAGATAGGTGTAAACTCATAGCTCTAAAAAAGGAAATATATATTAGAAATTAAAATTTAGGACTGTCATTTACAAATTGACCTAATGAGCTGAATTGTAGGAGGGGCAACAATAGAAACAAACAATTTTAATCTCTAGAGGACTTGTATGTTTTTGAGGGTTATCTAACAGATAAATGGAAAAAGATGCCTAAGAACATTTGTAATAGGGACTCAATAATGTACAAACAATGCATGAAACCTAAAGGCAGGAATGACATGAGGGTTGTGAAAACTGGAGAGAGAAACCAAAAGTATTTTTTAAAATGCTGTGTTTGGAGTAGAATATACAGATGCTATAATGTTAGAAAAAATGATGGTGAAAAAGCAGATGTCAACACAAAGATGACGATGGAAAAGCAGCCTCTTTCCAAGTTACAGAGGGACTCAGGACAACGTAAAGAGAGGGTCCTCATGGCCAAGAGGAAGGGGCTCGTGCTGGACGGCCACCAGTTTAGGTTACTTGAAGGAGACTGGCCTCAAGGACCGGGCAGGCATGTGACTCTGGTGATGGTGGTCAGGTGACACAGAGTAAGAGTAGGTCCATTTTCTAAAAGCATTTGATGAAGGCAGCTCAGCCGCCCTAGCTAACAGCAAACCATCTTCATGGCTTTCTTACCTACAGTATAAAATCATGGTAGTCAAGGTGGCATGACTACCTTGGTACCATGACTACTACTCATGGTATCCCAGAGTTACCTACCACAGTGCTAAGCAAGTACCTCATCTGTCAGTAACCTGTATAATGGGTCAGATGATGCTTATATCATGAGGTGGTGACTAGAACTAAATTGAGTAATATAAGCAAAGGAACTGGTCCACATTTTAGGATCATCAAAACTCTTTTATAATTGAACACGTATTTGTCTTCCCATGACTGAGCCCTTGGCTCCTCAAAATCCCAAGTGCTGGAATACATTTTAATTACATATAGTCCTACATCTTAAAGTAAGAAGAAAATACCAGATTCCGATCCCGAAAGCTGAGAAAGCCAGGGCATTTGACAAAATGCCCATAGGCTACCTTGACAAAAACCACCAGCCTTCTCTCGCTGGAGCTTTTTGGGGAAGCCGGGGGAGGGGAAAGGAAACACTAAATACTAGTTCCATCTCATTGCCACTCCTCCCTGATTTACTCCTTGTCATAGTGATGTAAAGTCCTTTATTGTGTCCAAACTATTTTTTCCTGAAGATTTAGAAACAACATCTGGTACAAGGTTTGGTACATAGTTCTTCCTGGTTTGCAGTGGGGGCAGATATGTGGGTCTCTGTTGGCTGAGGCTAGGCATTACTGTGGTATTGACATCACATGGAAGGGTCTACATAACTCAGTGTATCAGCGGCTTCATGGTGGTTGTGGTTTAGTTGCTAAGGCATGTCTGACTCTTGTGACCCCACAGGCTATAGCCCACCAGGCTTCTTTGTCTATGGGATTTCCCAGGCTACTGGAGCGGATTGCCATTTCCTTCTCCAGGGAATTTTCCCAAAGCAGGGATCGAACCCAGACCTCCTGTGCTGCAGGCAGATTCTTTACCAGCTGAGCCAAAGGAAAAACAGTGTAGTGATATTAAGGCAAAATGAGATGTTTCTTCTCTTCCTACCTTCTGTAACCTTTCTCTCATTCCCAAACCAGTCCTTGGTCAACCAGTTGTTTTCGTTTCCCCCCTTTCATTCAACAGATATTGAATTCATTTCACAATGAAATAAAGCATGATTTTTATATAAATGTGAAATTAAATTTAGCTTATAACATTACTAGTACTAATTAAAAGGAAATATTTTTGAAATATGATTCCCTGGTTGTAATACCCAGTATATTTTCATTTTCTAGCCCTTTGTTTTCTGTTCTCTGCAAGTTTTCTTTATTCTTTTGAATACAATGCAACTCTTAAAAAGGCAAAGCAGAAAAAGCAGGACAGATCAACAGAGGCAGACATAAACAGCCAGCCCTAATTTGAGACAGAATAAAGTAAATGTTATAATCAGTGCAGTGTTCTGGGAGGAGTCAGAAGACTGTTCATTAACCCCAATGCCAGGGAATTGGGGTTGCTTCCAGGGAGGAGATGATGCTAAGCCAGAAAGAAGGAAGATTTCATGCAGGATGGAAATAATAGTGTCCTCCAGGCCTCTGAGAGGACCCAGGAGATATGAGCATGCTTGGATGTTTAAAAAAGCACAAAGAGCTCTTCTTGGTGCATAACTGTCATTTAGCTGTTGTTTGTTAGCCAGGGCTTCTGGTGTCCGGAGTGGGGAGAGTGGGTGTAGAGCAGAGAGAAGCAGGTTGGTAGCATATTGTTAGCACTGAATAATAAGCTAAAACTTTTGGAGTTTATTCTTTAGTTTCAGAGGAGAAGCTAGTCCTTGGAGTGGAAGAGAAACACAGTTCTGTGTTTTCTTTTTCTCTCTTTCTCAAAATGGTAATTAGGCCGCAAGTCAACAGGTTGGCTTGGAGAAGGGGGCTCTCATGAGTCAAGTTAACACGACCCTCATCTGGGGCTGTAATGAAAGATGGAGGGGAGGGGCACCCTAGAGACAGAGACCCAGGGACTGAAGCAGGATTTAAAATGACTGTAAGGTTTTAGCTCTGAATAAAATGAAAATGTGAGTCGCACTTACTGAGAGAGAAGACATGAAGGGCATAGACACTCATTGATTCTCTCTCACACCCTAAACTCCAGCCTCCCCTGTGTTCCCCAGATGGGCCATA